ANTATAAAAAAGATATTCGCAAATAAATAAATCTTTGAGGTGTATTATATGATGAATTGGTAATTAGCATAATTGGAATCGGTTTTATATATAAGCTAAGCAAGCTTAGGACCTCATACTACGAGGTATTCGTGTTTTTAAATTTATTTTTACTAGCCGAAGAGGAAGGTCTCTTGCAAATTGAGCCCAACATGACCGAGTGAATAAAACTACTAAATAAATCGCGGATTCTTGCATGAGCAATGGGCTGACCGCTTTTCGAGTTTACTTCACGTATCTAACACCTAAGTGGAGCCAATTTCTATTAAAAACATCTCCTGGATGGATCCTCCCTTGGCAGATCGCCCATGTGTTGGGTTGCCTTATGGTGTATGCTAACAATCCAATCCAATCTTGGATATATTGTAACTTACAATTACAACGAGAGTTGGCGTTATTAATGATGAAGGATTATTTATACAAATTTTTAAAATTTTAGGAAATTTTTAAGATTTTTATACTCTATATATTAAGTTTTTTAAATTTATCATTTCTGAAAAATACAATGAAATAACTAAATTAACAATTATCTATTAAATTCGTAATTCTAATATGGCTTTAAAAAAACATAAAATAATAAATTTTTATAAAAATATCATTAAAGCATTTATTTCTCTGAGGAATTTCTCTGTTGTCTCTTAAAATTTCATTAAAATTTTAAAGAAATTTTGTTCCTCCAACAGCATTAAAACGATTATTTGTGATTTATTTTTACGTTAAAGTATGAAGAATATATTAAAGAAAAATTGATTTCTTCGCGATTTTTTCAAGATTTTGTTGTTGATCTGTATAGTTTTTTGCTGAAATTTCGTTTCTATAAAACACATTTTACAGAAATGTAAATGCTATTTAAGTTTAAATGTGTGGTCTACGTAAAGGATTTGATCGAGGAAAATTTCATAACATGTTATAAAAATACTTTTGAAAAATTTGGTTTTTGTATAAGGAAATTTTCGGATATAAACAGAAAAATCAAACATTCCTGAAGCTTTTTCAAGCCATTATACATTGAAAAACGTTGTAAGGATGTGGAATCATGGCTGCAACGTTTTTCAATACTATAAAATTTCAATTACCATAAGATTTTTGAAAGGATTTAATTAATTTTTCACTTAATATACAAGAAATGTTTTGAAATTTTTAGATTTTATACACATTTTTAATGAAATTTTTCTAAAATGATAAATGATAAATTACTGTATATTCATTGAAACAAGAAAAATATTTTTTAAGTTATAAAATTTCATCATTTACGAATAAATTTTAGAATACTTATTAAATAGTTTTTGTGGAAATGAACCTCCAATAACGGCAACCTCCCAACAACGGCCATCTCTAAACAGCGTCTATTTTTTCAGGAACTTATTATTTTTTTAGAAAAGTGTGCATACAAGAAAACCTTCAAACAGCGGCCATGTTTTATGTGCCGGCCGGTCAGTGGCCGTTGTTCAGAGGTTTGAATTATAAGATTTTTTCTCCATTTAAACGTGATTCAAATCAAAGTCATTTCAGTAAAATTTTACGTGAAAATTACTTTATCATTTGATAATTTAAGACATTTTTCAATATTTGAAAAATAAAAATTCCAAGAAATTTTTTGAATATTTATTTCATCATTTACTATGACAAAATATTTTAGGAATAAAAGTTTAATTTAAAGTTTAAATTAAAGGCAAATGCTTTTTTTTCTGAATTAGAAAAAGAAATTCTTATAAAATCTTAGAAATACCAAAGTAAATCCATTAATTAAAGTCGAATGAATCTAAATAATTTCTAAATTAATTATTGACAAAATTATTTTTCAGGTTAAAATACAATTAATCATTAAGTATAGAAGTTATATATTGATTTAATTTTTAAATTAAATTAAACCATTAAAAAAATGAAATTAAAAAGTAAATCGAATAAATACTATATTAATTGAGTTCGTTCAAGTTTTATTTTTTAGTTAAAAACAATAATAAAATTAAAAATAAAAGAATTCACATTTATTTAATTCCAATAGGGTTTCACTATTAACAAGCGACATTTAAACAATCTTTTGTCTGATTCGCTGAATTTAAATTTTTGAAAAAACGAACTCTGAATTGACCAATCAATAGTTATAAGTTTACAAAATTACAAACTATGTTATTCTTAAGTATAATTTATTAATAAATGGATAAAATAAATAAATAATTTTAGTTTATATTAATTTTTAATCGGGTTCGTCTCTTTAATTATTTATCTACTATATTAACAAGAGATTAAAATCTTAATATATAAAATTTTTAAAATATCTTTCTTAGTTTCTATTAAAGATAATTTGTATTCTTATTTTTTGAGTATTAAATTAATTAGTTTTGTATTCTATTTAAATTATGTAAAACTTTAAAGTGATAGAAAATTTGATAGTGTAAATTTATTTAATCAAATTGTATAATACAGTAATTAATTAATATTTTTAATTTCATTTAATAAATCGGCTTGAATATAATTATATTAATTAAGATAATAACAATAATAAGATAATTTTGATTTATTAATTGAAATTTAAAATTTTCAATAAGATTTTATATTAAGAAACTGAAGTCGTCTTTGATTCGTTAAATTCGAATTTGAATTGTCCAATCAGATCAAATTTAAATTATATTTTTGAATACCGTAAATAAACTTATTGTTATAATTTAAATTAGAATTAATTAAATAAAATTCAGTCAACTTTCTATTAAAGTTTATATATAGACTATATATTTTAAAATAATTTCGATTATTTAAAATTTTTATTTAAAATATCTCTTAAAGTTTTATGAAATTATATAAAAAGATATAACTTGATTTATATTATGGCGCATCAAGTTTGGACTAGTATTTTGCCCAATTCAATTCTTCTCCCAAGAAATATCTCTAGGTTATAGCTTAGGGATTCTAGGTGATAAAACTGGTCAAAATAATATTTCAAACTTAGTAGGCCATAATGGGTCCTCTACCTTAATATTTTTATTTTAAAATATCCATAAGTTCCCTAAAATTCGGCTAAAATTATTTTCTAATGACTTTTAGCGCCCAGTGGGCACTAGAAGGCGTCCGTCGTGAGTTTTGCCAGGTCCACAATAAGGGTGGCCAGGTAGAAGCGGAAATTTTTCGTGGTGGTCTGTCCGGATTCATTGGGTACGGGACCCAATGAATCCGGACAGACCACCACGGAAATTTCTTGAATTGCTCGCCCAGATTCGATTTCGCTTTCCCGGAACAGTGGGCTGGTGTTTTAATTGCCTTTACCATACGACCTCACTAGGGTTTCTCGTTTCCCGGGAAATTTGCCTCCAGCGGAATTACGGGAAAAATAATTTCTTTTCCCGGGATCCCGGGAAATTCCGGAATGAGATAGTAAATTTTATATGGATAAAATTAGTAGAATTTTATATGAATAAAAAAGATCATACAGGAATATCATAAATTTGAATAATTTAATTTACTTTCTAGTAAGTAACTAAAAGTGTAGGCCCAATCTAACCCATACGGACACGTTAGGCTCAATTAATTTATGTTCTCCTACATTATAAGATGAAAGTTAAATAAAGCGTTTCATTGGGAGTTTTAATGATTACGAAAAAAAATACTATTTTATTTCTAAAGATGAAATAAAAAATAAACTAAAGTGCGATGAGTGATACTTACTTTCAGCGAGTGCTCCGCTGTTCAATGATGCGCAATCACAATACTTAGATATTACATGAACTAACAAGTAGAGACTTGTAAAACATAGGTAATAATATGCAGCAAGAAACCTCAAAATTTCTCTCTTAGGTGAGTCTTCAAGATGCAACTTTTCGTATAATAAATAATAGAAAGAAAACCCTGACATGATAAATTATTATTGAAATGCGAGATTTCCCAGGAAAATAAAATTTTCCGGGATTTTTCTCGTAGGGAATAAACGGCGGGAATCCCGGGAAAACGGGATCCCGGGATCCCGGGAAAGAAACCCTAGACCTCACCCATTCTTTTTAGAAAACTAATTCTAAAATTTTAAACTCATAATCTAAGGTAAAAACATGAGAAAATATTTTTTTCATTGGTTCTGCATTATAAAATAATTAAAATTTTTCTCTTCTATTTAATCAAAACTTACGAAAGCAATTTCCAATTCATAAATATTAAATATACTGTATATACCATTATTCTATTTACATAAAATGAATAGAAATTAATTTTATTAAAACTTTCTTGAAGTTTATACATGTTATAGTGGATCGTTATTATAATAAAGATGAACTTTCAATAACAGCCATCTCCAAACAATGGCCACCTCTAAACGGCGGTCATTTTTTTCAGGAACTTTTTTGAAATGCATACAAAATAACCTCCAAACGACGGCCATTTTTAAACATTTTTATTTAACTCGCTCCGTATTATGTCCACAAATCTAGGAACTGAGATTTCATCCAGTTCTAATTAAGATAGAAGGTTGCGACTTTCAGGACATACCTAATCCCTACCATCAGGGCATCCTTAAAGGGGTGGCACTATCCTACCATCTTCTCCATCTGCAAATATGCTAAGCATAACTAAATGTGGAATTTAATTATGATGTGTGTACGTAACTGTATTGTAGTTATGTATATGGTGGGGTTGTCCCATACCCCAGCTTAAAGTACAGAAAACATTACCATAAAAGTGTTTTTTTAATTTAATTTATTAATTTATTTAATTATTTAAAGTACAGAAAACATTACCATAAAAGTGTTTTTTTTTTTAATTTTTTAAATATATTAAAATTATTATTACTAGTGACTATTGTTCTCTATGTTTGAATGTATTAATCAGAAGAATTTTTTTCTCGTGCAGCATTTTCCTAAGCCCAATAAAAGCATATTGAAATGTAATTAAACGAAGTCTTACTTGATTCATATTTAAATATTTTAAAAAGAAAGTGAAATAATCTCATTAAAATAACACGAATAATCTTATCTTTTCAGGAAGTAAATCCGTTTTACATCAGCTTAGATGCAAGTGCAACTAATTTAGCAGATTCAACTTATAGTTTCCTTAATACTAGCAAATGGTACAATGCAACTTTATTGACAGACTACAATGTTTTTTCATTAAGTATTGCAAATCGTCTCAAATCGCTGACTTCTTCCCAGAATCGTTTAAAAGTAACTTACTTACGGACGGACGATAGCCAACGTCTGTTTGATCAACTGAGTGCTTTGAGGAATAGCGAAGTTCGTGTTATAATCTTGTCCTGTGATAGATTCAACGCTTACAAAGTCTTCCAAGAAGCTTCAAAGTTGGATATGCTGGATGGACAATGGATTTGGATATTGTTAGAACATTCTATTACTTACAATCAATTGTATCCGCCTGGTTTGTTAGCCATTAAGTTACGACGTAGAGAAATTGAAGATAACATCTTTAAGATGATAGCTAATCTGTTAACGACTGCTTTTAGAAATGTTGATATTGCCAGTTTGTATAAAAGATTTAAAAATTCTACCACCGAAATTAATTGCAATGAGTTGTTCTCTGATGAAAGAAAGAAATTTTCGTCCATTCTTTTCGGGTAAGTTCTTTTGTATTTTTTTTTTTTTTTTTTTCTTTGTTGAAGAGTCGTGCTGATAATTTCGTGTATTATACTCCATTAACCAATCACGAAATATCGATATTGGAAGAGATATAATTGTATTTAAATAATAAAAGTGAATTGTAGTGATATTTCTGTTTAGTATTTGTGTTCTTCTTGTGTTCTGTGTTTGTGTGTATGTTTATGTGTATTGTATTTGTTGGGTGTGTTGTATTTGTTGTGTTTTGTGTATGTATTCTTAATTTCATAATTAATGTCGTATTATATTTAGTGTTATACTGATTGTTTATTCTAGCATAATTTAATAAATTTTTATGCTCTTTATTCATGTTTTAAAGTAAATATTTTATTAATGTCTTTTATTTTATTTATTTACTTATCTCCTCCTGTCTTCCTTTAGCCTAGACCATTTGAATAGGTCTACCCCCATAATAATAATAATAATAATAATAAAATCTAAATTAAGCTTATGTCGTACTACTTCAAATATAAAATGCATTGCGACATAAAAACAAATTTTTCAGACATAAATTGGATAATAATTAAAAAAGTATTATGTAAAACAATTTATTAAAAAATACAACCATTAATAGCATTATTAAAACGAAGTATAATTAAAAGAAAATACAAAACAAGCAAGGAAAACTACAAAATTTTCATTATATACAGACTTTTTGGCGTGACAAAGAATACCTCGATATAAGAATCACCTGCAATTTAACACTTTAATTTCGGAAATTGCTATAGAATGCTTTAAATTTCTACATAACACAGATTTGATGTATCTATATATTAAAATATCATAATGAATAATGTATTTATATGTATAATAATGTATATATATTACAAGATTTTAATTATAATTCTCTATTATTCATTTGTTATTTTAATTAATGGGAATTACGATAGAGATATTTAATTCTCTGGAAAAGATACATATAATTCGAAATACTATACAGTATAATTACATACTGAATACTTAAGTATCAGTTAGAATAAGAAATTAACTTTTATAAAATTATTTTTAAAAAACTCAGCAGGGAGTCATAGCCAGGTAAATTTGAATTAGAGGACCCCATGTTCAGTCCCTTCAGACATATTTCTTCGGGGATTTTTTGAGCGAAACGTTTCCTTATAAGAGATAGTTTTGGAGACCCCTGTTGGTGGTGTCCCCAGGTAATTGCTCTTTTTGCCCACTCACCACTGTAAAAGCTTATTTCTTATATAAAAATACTAAATTTTATAAAAATAGATACATGTAAACAGAGTATAAAAAATCTTAGTTCCCAAGACATTCCCTATTCACCTGAAACATGTTCCCATAGGGAGAAAGGAAAATTTTTTTGGAGTCACAACAATGTGCCAAATTAATTATACTTAATTGAAGTACAGATAATTCGATATTAGATAATTATCTTTATTTAAATCAATATAAAAAAAAAACAAATAAATGAATAAAAATAAAATGGATACTTCTCTATATTTGATCCACTGAAAACACTAAAAACCCAGGAATTTTATTGTATTTTTTCCACTAGAAAAAAAAACAATTCAAATTTTATTCAAAATGAAAGAATTAAATTTGAATTTTTATTTTTATAACAAAATATTTTTTTAAAATATATTTTTAAGAATATTTCAGAATATTTTTTAAATTAATAACAAATATTTTTACTTATTATTTTATAATAATGAAAAAAAAATAAAGTACTTAAGTTTTTACATTTTTGTATATAAATAATGTATTTTTTAAAATAAAATAATAAATTATTTTTTTCTAAATTGAATACAAATAATTATTTTTTATTTATAAAAATTTGGATTGAATCCAAAGTGTAATATCTCTTTTAAATCCAATTTAAAATAAATCTTTGTTCTCTGATATCTCTTAACAACTAAAAGAAGTCATTAAGGAAAGTATAAAAGACTTCTTACAATTGTTTTAATTTACTTCTCTTTTAAACTTTTTCAAATTTCTAAAAATAAGTGTTTTAATTGAATTAAATCTCGTATTTTTTACAAAAAAAAATTATATTTATTTAATTCAATGTAATTTAATTTATATTCTATCAACCTTTATAATGAGAGTTTTAATTATTCTGATGATTTTTTTTTTAAATTATATTTGTAAATATTAAGGGAAATTTTATGTTGATTTGTAAATTAGAATTTTTTCTAATTTCTTTTATAATAAATTTAATTTATAATTTAAAAAAAAAATTAATGTTTAAACTTGAATAATTTTGTTTAAAAAATTAATTATATTTTCCTTAATTAAATTGAAAGTTGAAATGATAACATTTGTTTACTTATAAAATATATCAGCTTTTTGCATGTTTTATTAAATTATTAATTGTAAATGAGTAAATTATTAATTTTTTAATTTTTAAATTGACAATTTCTCTTAAAGAATTACTAAATAAATTAACTTAAGAATTATTTTTATATTTAAAAAGTTATGTGATTATAATTACCGGAAATTGTAATTAATTTTTTAAATCATATTTTTATATTATTTAATCAAAAATTTAAATATCTTACATTTAAAAAAGGTCTTAAAATTCAACTTAAATTTTGTAATATTAGTCAGGCATTCATTGAGGCCCATCAGTAAACAAATAAATAAAACCATGGATAAAACTAGTAATTGGTCGTGGCTTCGCGTTTCAACAACAGGCTGACCACGTTGAATTTTCCATGTTTTCTTCACGTATCTATGACCTAAATAAGGGCCAGTTTCCTAGGCAACGGAACACATAGGCAATCTGTGTAGATGAGTGTCTCCCGGGAGACATCCCCTAGACAGGCAGGCACACAGGCAGACACCAAAGAAGGCAAAACATGGGCAATGTGTCACAGATCGCCCATGTTGTGATTTGCTTAACCTCTAATATTACAGGGGAACTAGTAGGGCCTTTTGGATTAGGATCCTTATTTAATTAACGAGCAGCAAACGGGACCGTATTTAGATTAACTTTGAACCTAAGTTATAACAGGGCTGTAAGAAGCTTTTTCTTTTCGCCAAATAGTAGCAAACTTATAAGCATGAGGCCCTAAGCTATAGATTACTACAGCATAGGACCTCACGCTTATTACGCCAAAATTTTTATTTTTAAAATACATAATAAAATTTTTAACGTTATTTTGTGTGGTTTTAATATACTGATGGCTGCATAAAGGCTAGGACCCTTTGTCCTACGAGAGTGAGTAGAGATAACTTTTATACGTTACTCGCATGCATACTGACAATTATTTAGAAAATTCTATACAAAATTCAATATATAAAGTCTCATAAATATTAAATAGATTAGTGGAGTGAATATGACAACCAAGTATGAGGCATTGTGAGCCATTTTAATCATATGTACCAATGCGAAATCTATCTGACAGCTGCTTTATTTTCATTTATTCTTATATAAGAAGAGGAGGAGGAGGAGGAAAAATATGTGTGTACATAAAGAATTTCCAAAACAATTTCCATGGTTTATCTACGAAGATAAAGAAACTTCATACTGAATCGATTTAGATATTTAGGAATAATGAAGGGAAATATTCAGAGAAGATTACTCCGAAACGGTTAGAATAATGGGCTAAGTCGTAGGATGGATGCAATTGTCGTCTTTCCAAAACATCTGTGTGTCGAATGTGGTCCATGAGAATTTTCATTGAGTAGTCTATCAACCGATAACAAAGAAAAAAGTAACATCAGGTTGAATGAATCTGAAGATCGATGCAAGGATCCGGTCATCAAGAAAGTGGTCAGTTTGATTCAAAAGACTTCACCCTACTGTCTAAAACCTTGTTTTTCTTATAATAGAAGCTATTTTAAGCATCCGAAGTTTGGTAGCTTTGACTTTAATTTAATTAATTTTATAAATTAAGAATTGTCCATTTTAATTAACTTTCGTTGGCAATATAGAAAGAGTCTTAGAATAAGCTTATTATTATATAATTTATATTTTTATTGTCTAAAGATATTACTCCTTAAAACAAGAGAGTAATTGTTTAGAGTATAAAATATTTGGTTTTTTAATGCTAAACATAAATACATTAGGTTAATGTGGATTATATAAGTGCTCTTTAACTCTTTCCTCCCTGAGGGAGCTAAGACGGCCTTTTTAGCAAGTCCATTATGAGTTTGGCCAGGCCTACAATGGGTTGTCAGATAGTGAGGGACAGGGTCTGACGTATCAAGGAAGGATTTGTTATATGTTAAGTGCTGTTACAAGTTGCAATCTTTCTAACATATACTGGCCAGTGGCGAACTACTATTTGTGCAATCTGTTGCCTGGTGTCTCCCTGGACATCCTAAGACACCAGGCAACACAATAGATGGGCTATCTGTGTAGGAAATGCCTTCTCTATACAGGTCGTATGTAGTTTATAGCTTTGTTTTATCCCATCAATTCCAATATAACCAGGGGCTCAAAGTAGCTAGGGATCCTTGGCCTCTCACTTAGCCGCAATAACCGAAATGATAAAGAACTATTTGATTAATGTTTACTCACCAGTTTCTATTGTTTATATAAAATTTATATAAACTGATAAAAACCAGATTATAAATAAATAAATAGAATAAAATGGTGTGATAAATGTTTAAGTGCAATTGTACTTAAATATTAAGTCATTGACTGAAGCTGCAATTGGTGCCACGACCTCTGCTCCAAAACCCCATACCGAAGTGAAATTAGGGTCTGATTAGCCATAAATATGGGATCAATTTCTCTTTGAAAAACTTACAACTTATTAACAAATATTTCAATTCATATAAAAGATTAATTTTGGGGTCCTTCTGTATCCGTGGCCTTGGTCAAGAGAGTCTACTTACATATTTTCTGTCTGGTTCTGGAAATAGATGTGTTTAAAATATAAATAATATGAGAAACGGATGACAAGAGAAAGTAAGAACTAATCTTTCGTAGTGTAGTTAAAGAAAGTCAAGAAATTTGTAATAGAATCGTGAGCCTCTTCCATTTTTG